GACACCGTTGGTGGAATCGGGTGGAGCACCCAGTGGCAGGTGAATGACGTCATAAGTAGGCTCATGACGTCAGCGACATATAATCGAAATGCTTTCTTTTAGCGGTTATTTTCGAAAGTTAAGATGGAATTGACGATAATAATAAAAAAATTAATAATAATAATAATAATAATAATAATAATAATAATAATAATAACAATAATAATAATAATAATAAATATATAAAAAGGTTTCATTTCTCTTTTGAATCTCCCGCGAGGAATGCATCTGCGGAATCTGAGCGGAATCGATAATGTAAAAAAAAAGATAGAGATAGAGAGATAGATAGATAGATAGATAGATAGATAGATAGATAGATAGATAAATAGATAGATAGATACAGAGAGAGGGAAGGAGGGAACGAAAAAGGGAAAGGAGAAAGGCGCATCTTCGATCTGCGATGGAAGAAATGCGTTCTCATCGCGGGTATACAAGACCGCGATTAAAACCGTTAAGAAATTAAGATCACGAATAGAAAGAGAGAGATAGAGAGAAAGAGAGAGAGAGAGATCGTTTCGCTATTTTTACGAGCCACAGTGTGACGTCAAAAGAAGGGAGCGAAAATGGCAGTCGAATGTTTGGATTACTTAAGAATCTAGAACGCTCACAAGGAATAATATCGACTTGCTTGCAGATTAAAAAGAATCTTCAGATCGTTTCAATGGTAACAGAATGGAATCGTTTCAGAATAAGCCAAAGATGATTTCCTTTTTGTCGAATCCTATCTCGTTGTCGAATTTATATTTTCAAAAGAGATGAAAGAAGAAGAAGAAGAAGAACAAGAAGAACAAGAAGAAGAACAAGAACAAGAATCACGTGGTCGTCGTCCATATTTCTCTTTCGTCTTGGTAAAAATTCGTGGAAAAAAAAAGAAATAAAAAAAAGAAAAAAAAGGAAAGGAAAGATTCCACGTACTACTTCGTTTCAACGGATTCTTTTTCTTTCTTTTTTTTTTTTTTTTGCAAAAGGTTCTTCCATCTACATCCCCATTTGGAGTCACCCAAATAAGAAAAATAACTCATAGCGGTGGAATTAGAAGAAGATATAGATAGAGAGATAGATAGATAGATAGATAGAGAGAAAGAGAAAGAGAGAGAGAGAGAGAGAGAGAGAGAGAGAGAGAGAGAGAGAGAGAGAAAAGAGATGGCAGCAGGACGTGACCCCGTGGGCGGAAGGAGGGCTGCTGGACCGGATGGGTAGAGAAGAGAAGGGTGTGTGTGTACATGTGTATGTAGAAGGGAAGCTCATCTATACTATACGACTCGCATACGTTGACCCTTTGTGGTGGTCAAGTAGCGCGACCTACTATTTGTCCTACGAAACGTTCACCACTGTTCTTTTTTTTTTTTTTTACTGATCCTTCGAATCTAATGTAAACTTTAGGTTATGTCAATCAATCTCATCAATCGGTCCTATCATCTCTCTCTCTTTCAGTGACATATTACTTGTCTAATGTGTGTATGGATCTATGTATGTATGTTTGTATATATATATATATATTTCTTATTAATACGTAATGGAGAGGAATCGATCAATAGAAACGAAAATCGAACGACCACTTCGCGATCGACTTCATGTCACGTGCACGGAGTCATCCCGAATACGATTTCAAATACGAACGTAAATGACAGAGAGAAAATAGAGAGAGAAAGAGAGAGAGAGAGAGAGAGAGAGAGAGAGAGAGAGAGAGAGAGAGAGAGAGAGAGAGAGAGAAAGAGAGAGAGAGTGTGTATAAAATCTCATGAATCATTCGTCGTGGAACATTACGAATTTCTTCGTCCTATTATCAAGCCGAAGAGACATACAACAGAGTACGACCAGTCGCTCGTATGAGGTTAGACAATGACGACGACTTTATATTCCAAAGCAATTAAAGTCAATTAAGACAGCTGCACCGGCAATTGTGCCAACGACCAATAGCGTTGCTGAGAATGCAAGGACTTAAAACCGTCTCTCTCTTTCTCTCTCTTTCTGTCTTTATTTATTTTATTTTATCCTCATAATTAACATTATTTTCCAAGAAAAATAAAAATCTTATACCCCAATTATATTATTATATTATTATACCTCAATTATGCTGATTGAAATACAAATACGACAAACTCTTTTATACTTAAAAAAAAAAAAAAAAAAAAAAAAAAAAAAAAAGGGGAAAAAAAGAAAAAAAGATATGTATTAGCGTTGCTCCTTTCAACGGATAGTCAGAATTCAAATCACCGGCATTGGCAGCCATTTTTCTTAACCTGTTTATACATATTTCACGATAGAGTTATTGAATATATATGTGTATTACATACATATACATACACATACACACACACACACACACACACGTAAATACGTAAACATTAGTAAAGACCGTGTTAAAAGATACGCATACATGTGTCGATAGTGAAAAGAGAGAGAAATTTAGCGAGAAATGGCCGATTATTTCCATGAAAAATCGTTTAACCCATAAACGAGTAAGTTCCACCGTTATTCGTAAAACCGAATCCAACGAAAGTAAAACGAAACAACATTATTTCTTTTTACTTTCGTATGACTTACAATCTCTTATATCTATTTCTTTTATTATTATCATTATCATTATTATTATTATTATTATTATTATTATTATTATTATTATTATTATTACTATTATTATTATTTTTCATTTTGTTTTTAATTCTCATATCACCGAGCAGCTACAATCCCGAGACGTTACCAACGGAGGAAAAAAAAAAAAAAAAAAAAAAAAAAAAAAAAAAAAAACAGAAAATAAAGAAAGAAAAATAAAGCAAGTTTGTTTTCGCGCGAGAGTCTCGTGTCGACGAGATGGTATTATGCAAGTCCCCGTTACTCTAATTGCGTATAGCGAGATAACCGAGCCGAGCCGAGTAGAAGCCTCGTTAAATAAACGTCACACAGACGTTGCATCGCAAGTGAAAAAATTTTCCAGATCGCTTCTCGATGCCACGACGAACGAAGGAACTAACTAACTAACGAACGAACGAACGAACGAACGAACGAACGAACGAACGAACTAACTAACGAACGAACGAACGAATAAACAATGTTGCTTTTCCAAAGCCAAAAATAAGAATTAGGATGGCTGGAAATCGTTTCTATTTGTATGAAAAAACGAGTATGAATTCTTACTCTCACACGTGTCACTCGAAAAAGTTTCAATAAAAACTCAATGAAATTATGTCGATTAACATGAAAACCCGCTTTATGATAGGCAGTGTTCATGTAAATTCAAATCTAGTCGTAGATTATATCGTTTAGTTTTCTTGATAAAAGTGGAGAAAGGGAAAGAGAAAGAGAAAGAGAAAGAGAAAGAGTCATTTTCCGCTCAATTTCAGAGGTTAAATGTCCTTAATCGAGTACTAGAATATTGCGGTTGATCCGTGCCGTTTCACCGGTGTTCAGAATTAACGGACATTACGTTGAGTAATGCTTGTGACGCAGGTCACGTGTTAATTTTCCAGAATTACGAATAGTAGGCGGATGATAATGCCGTTGTTGTAACTTATAAAACAATCGTGTTTCTCTAAAAAGTGAGTATTCATGGTTTACATGATAAATTCACGTAAAACATAGATAATAATATAATCCCTTTATATTTTGAAGATCCAATGAGTGTCAGGTATGACTGCGCAAAGAATGATATATAATGTTCTTTAATTGAATGTTCTTAAGAACCTTCACGTTTAAAACCGATAAGAATTATTTGCAATGACACTACACACACACTATACACT